AATTCAGGTCAAGCCGATAGGCCATCCAGAATCCGCTCGAAAAAAGTTAGGGATAGACTTAATTATATAAATTTTTTTAAAAAATATGATATTTTAAATTCAATCTAAATAAATTTAATTAACCCAAATTATTGACTCTAATCAATATAACAAGCTTTTGTTAAGAAGCTATTATAGGTTTGGTAGAAAAAAGTAACTATATACGATATCATTATGTTTTTAAGGGATAAGATACATTAGAGAAAGAAGTATGACATGTAATAATCAGAAAAGCATAATAGGTAGTAGATGTGGAAAGTTTAGGATATTTTAACTAAGTAAATTAAGCTAATTTGGTTAAACAAACAATCCTTATGTGTATATAAAAATCTGATGTGATATTAAGAGCCATTTGATCTTGGCGCCAAACAAAAAAAAAATTGAAAACAAGAAAAGCAATAAAAGAAAAGAAAAAAAATAATGAAAGATGAAAAAGACAGGAAAAAAAAGACAGCAAAGAGGGAGGGGGGAGTAAAGAGTAACAGACTTAGGGCTTCTGGGATTTAAAAAAAAAGTACAATTCCATGTAATAAGGAAATGAATAGAATATGGTAGAGAGAGATAATAGACAAAAAAAAAATCTGGCACATAGTAATTAAAAAAAAGATTTTATACATATGTAATTCAAAATATACTTTATTAACTATTTTATTAAAATTTAATGTAAAATTAAAAGGGAAAGTACTAGCATAAAGAGGTCAAGTTATGCCTGTACACCTATATGCATCATTTGGGAGAACCCAAACGTGTCTTTGAGGACTCAAACCCTGAATCCAACAAATTTTGGGGCCAATTTCAAAATGAACCTAGAGTTTTTGTCATTGATGGTTGGGGATCTTCAAATGTGTCTTCTAGAACAGATCAAATAATGAACTTACTAATAATAGTAATTGAATTGAGTGGAAGGGATTTGACTTACATATGGTTAAGGATTTAAACTTTGTAGATAAAATCAACTATGATGAGAAAACTATCTCAATTGGATTCCACAAGACTTAAATATGGCTAAGTAGAGCATTTAATATTAGATTATTAGCAATGTTTTAAAAGCCAAATAAGATGTTGAAGCAAAAATGTCAATGAATTTTGTTAAACAGCAATTGAATCAATAGTATAATAATTAAATAAAAAATAATATTAAATGTATATAAAATACATACATGTATATGTATGTATATATAATAGTTTGTTGTTGAATTCAACTAAGATGATTGGATTTGATACTCCATCCATTTCCTATTATAAGCACACTCCTTTCTTTATTTTCCTTTTAGAGAAAATTAATCATTGAGTTCAGATAGTTTTGACTAAGTTATAATTTTGTCCATGAACTTTAATTTATTATAATCCAATTCTTATATTTTTAATTCAGTTATAATTTAGTCCATAAACTTTAGCTCGATACAACTCAGTCTATATAGTTTTAAACATTTAAAACATTGGTTCCTATATTTTAAAAATAAAATCATAAAAATAGAAATTATATTGACATTTAGGGACAAATATTTTAAATTACTAAAACTTTTAATCTTTACAAAGATTATAAAGCTTAAAATTATTTTTAAAATTTTAATATTTATAATTTTATTTTCTAAAATGTAGGAATTAATATTTTAAATTGTTAAAATTATAAGAACGAAGTTGCACTGAGTCAAAATTCAAGAAATGAGTTACAATTGAATTAAAATTCAAGTGTTAAGCTACAACTGAGTTATCATAGCATGTAAAACATTTATTGAATAAGTAGACTTAGATTACTCACGAGATGCAAATATGATAGAATAGGATGAAATTAGTACAAGATAATTAAGGGCAAATTTGATAATATATATAAAAAAAAGCTTAAAATATTATATATAATCATCTAACCTCAAAACACTCATATAATTCTATTATAAGGGCTAGGTAAACTTAAAAATGAAATCCAACCACCAACTTCTTCACAAACTAGACTAAAGAGGAGAATAAAAGGTAGAGAAGAGATTAAATGAGCTTACCTTAGAGATTTGAGGCTCTTAAAATGTAGGAAATCAATGCTCCTACCAAACCCTAGTAGAGAGTATTAAAATTGCACACCAAACCCTAACTCTCCCTTTTCTGATTCTATTTTTCGCACCAAAACAATATATGTTGAAAATGCATTGTATATTGTGACATATGACACAGCAGTGAACAATCCCAGTTAAGTCCAATAATTTGGATCCAAATTAGCCCAATACCTATTTTAAACACCAAATAACCTTGATAATGATCTTAGTCTCAATTTAAAACATAATTGAGAGCTTAAATAATTAATTAACATTTATAAATCTCAATCAACATACACCATCAATTAGATCCTGAAAATACATGTTTCTTCAATTAAATTCTCAACTACACACTTTTCTTTAATTAAATCCTCAAGTGCTCATACTTCCTCAAAGCAAACCTTAAAATAATATCAACCCGTAATTATATATTCTCAATCAAAATCTCCATATCCACAATTAATTCATAATTTAAAAATGAGGATGTTACATCTTCTAGAACAAATCAAATAATGAACTCACAAATAATAGTAATTGGAGTGAGTGGAAGGGATTTGATTTACGTAAGGTTAAGGATTTAAACTTTGTGGATAAAATCAACTATTATGGGAAAACTACCTCAATTGAATTTGGCAAAACTTAAATATGGCTAAGAAGAGTATTTAATATTAGATTAATAGCAATGTGTTAAAAGCTAGGTAGGATGTTAAAGTAGAAATGTTAGTGGATTTTGATTTTCTTTGGTTTAACCAGTTAAACATTAGTCAAACCAATGGTACAATAATTAAATAAATAAAAAATAATAATATTAATGTATAATATATATATATATATATATATATAATAACTCTACAATATGCCTAGTTGTTAAAAAAATAACATAATATGATCAATTTAGTGATCCATCTGATGTTATCATTAATGTTGCGTGCAGAAATGCTACTTTTTTTGCTTGTTCTATTTAGGTTTTAGGTTGGTTGCTTTTGTTATTAAAAAAAAAAAATACGGATTTAAATCCTTTGAATTTGATATTGAAGGATTTATGTGAAGTTTTCCTTTTTAAGAAAGAGAGAGATTTTATATTTTTATAAAAATGATAAAATAAAGAAAAATACTTAACAAAGAAAACTTCACCTAAATTTACCCATTTCAACTTTAGAGGATTTAAATTCAAAAAATACAACATGACCATAAATCAATAGCAGCAGTAGCAGTAGGAGTTATAGTATTAGCAATAACAGCAGCAGCAAGAATAACACTAGTAAGAGCAGTAGGAGGACAACATCTGTAGCAGCAAAGAAAATATTCCAAAGAGAGTTATGAGCAGAAAAATGTGGAACAATGCAACATATATATATTTTTTAAAATCAGTGTAACGTTGCCATTCTTTAACTATCAATGTTAAGTTAAAGTTGTGGCCAAAAATCTCCCAAGTCACACTAACAATCAACTTAACATTGAGAGTTAAAAATAGGGCAATGTTGCACCATTTTTCAAAGATTATGCCATATTGTTTTACAATTGATTTTAAGATGCTTATAGCTCTTCAAGAAATACTTATTGAGAAAAAACTGCATTTTCCCTGAAAAATAAACAAACGGGGCAAACTAGGTAGAAGCATGATAGCTGATTATTTTCACTTTCTTTCCTTTCGTTCTCCTCCATCGAACCAAGCAAAACTTTGATGATCATCATGAGTAGCTTCGATCCAGCAAGACCTTCGAGGCTTTGAGTACGTTTTGTTTTGATGACTTTTTTTATATTTAGCTTCTGCTAAATCAAATTCAAGAATTGTCAGGTTCAATTAGTGATAACTTTCCCGAAGACACTGTCTGCATTTACACGGACTTGAACTCAAGACCACATGCTTAAGCAACTATGATCCTTTCCTCTAGAACCAATGTCTATTGGTATAAGATCCAATATCCTCAAATCCATGAAGAATGTTTTGAACAAGCCCAAAAATACTAATAAATGTGTACCAAGCCCACTAATCCCAATAAGCCCTTTGGATCTAATAGAATGCAACATGGTTTACAGGACTTAATATCCAAATGAAGAAGATAGAGATACACATAGGTATGAAATGGGAAATACCACGTTAACTCGTAACTCCATGGATTTCACCGTGAACCGAGATTAAAATTTAAAAAATACTTGAACTAGAACTGGGAAGCTCGTCCGTAGCATGGTTAAAAATAGGGGAGGAGGATGAATCATGTGTTACATTCTCATGTTTCACCCTCAAGTCTCTAAAGGAGGGAATAAAAGCTTTATAATAATTGCTGCAAACATGAAACCAAGCACTCTTTTAGATAGTTTTCCATTTATGAGAGAGCCTTTGACCAATGTTATGGGTAATAAGCTTTTCCATAATTTTTAAAAAAAAACAAAGAATTTTATGTTTAATTGTATTCTTCTATCTTGTTTCTAAACAACTTCTGAAAGGATGCGCGCGCGCGCAGCACTTTACATTACTAAACTTCGGTTTAGATCATAGATTTGTTGCAATAAAAACCAAAATGTCCAATGGCTGATGATATTGCTTAAATTTAAGAGACGATACAATTTAAGGTGAATTTATCTATAACTGCTACATTTCCCTAAATTTTTTGAGGAAATAAGATTAAAGGTTGGAAGAAAAGAAATCCTAAATCAATGAGAACCACAACCTGAAGCCAGGACGATGCACAGAAGGCATGAACTTCACTCCACCTCTTGAATCAAATACATCAAATGCGCAAGCTAAAACTTAAATGGTGTGCCATTCACCAGACTTGGAGTTCAAAACCCAAAACTCAATGCTGAGGAAACATCACGTGGCAGAAAATCATCGATCACGAAACGTCCAGCTCAATATTGTACAGACACCATGTTTATATTGTCTCAAAAATTCCCGTTATGGGGGAGAGAAAATAATTAAACAGAACAGACAGCTAAGAAAGTCGGTTTACATATTGCCCGATGGAAATGCAAATTACAAGCTAATAATTCATACCTATTTCTAGTTATAATACAAGTAACAGTACAGAGCTCACCGGACATCATAGTTGCCCACATCTTGATCCTGGAGCCCTCAAAGTACAGAAGATTATGTTGTTCATACTGATACAAAATTGTGAAAACTTGCACCTTTGCAATCTACAAGAATCTGGGAGACAAACAAATGAAGGTTTAGAACTGACAAGCCTAAACATGATCATTTGCTTCGATAGCACCACTGAATTCCAGATTGCCATCAGAACAGTTATACCCATGACCGCCTGCCGTTAAAGTGTGTCTCATGGAAGACAGTGCAGATCACAGATGTGAAAAAAAATATAAGCATTTTAATAGACTAAGTCTTACCTCTTGTGTCCCCTAGCTTTATTAACTCTAACAAATCTTCGACCAGACTTGTCACTGCCTCCAGTACCTAACGCGAAACTTCCGGTGCCATTGACCTCTAGACTGCTAGAAGCCTGAAATGGGGTTGGGCTCTGTGGAGCAATATTCTGCTGAGTCCCAAGCTGGAAGGGACTAGTTCCCGATGGAGCCGGTGCTCCAAAACCAAAATTGGAGTGAGGCGGGGCAGGTTGTTGACCAAATGCAGGAGTCGCAGGAGTCAGAGGTGAAGATGAATGAATTGGGTCCTCTGCCATGCTGTCTTCCATACTCATCTGATCATTATTAACCGAAGCAGCTGAACCAAATGAGAAAAAGGATTAGGATTACCAAAAACAGGTTGTGTGGAAGTAGCCATTGCAGCTGAAGTAAATGACAAAATGGGAATCGTTGATGCACCAAGTGATGATCCAAACAGGGGTGTGCTAGTAGTGAACGAAACAGGGGATGATCCAAACATGGGTGAGCTGGTAGTGGAAGCAATAGAAGACGTGGATGATCCAAACATGGGTGTACTAGCAGTTGAAGCAATAGAAGCAGTGGATGATCCAAATATGGGTAACCTAGAGGTAGACGAAACAGAACCACTTGATACTCTAAAGGAAATGCCAGAAAACGACAATGAATTAAATGCGGAACCAAACGTAGACTTGTTGGCCTGCCGACTAGAAGCCCCGCACATGCAGCATGAACAGATATTTAGAAAATGAATGATCTTGATGCCTCAATGGCCATGATTTAATTCAGGGTATATCATGCTGTATATTAAAAATAAACTAAAGAATAAGACAATTTAGATATACAACAGATCAATAGAAAAATTGCAATATAATGAAAAATTTCACCTCTAAATATAACTGAACAAAGAACAGGATGGCCTTAAAAACCAAGATCATTCAAAGAATTTATGACTTGATGTAAGATTAGAGATGAAAAGAAAATGCTTAACAAATCATAATATGGTTAAGGATCCAAAGGGTGTAGCTAGCCCAAAAAACAGGCAGAAAGTGTAAGAACTTAAAGAATGGCAAAAAATGCATATTATAGAAAGAACGCGGAATGGTAGAGAAAAACTGCATGAAAGAAAAGGCATGTCCTTGATGAATTCACTTTCACAATAATCTATATAACCATTTTAATAGACCAAGCCTTACTTCTTGCGTCCCCTAGTTTTACGAACTCTGACAAATCTTCGACCAGACTTGTCGCCGCCTCCAGTACCTAACGAGAAACTTCCGGTGCCATTGACCTCTAGACTGCTAGAAGCCTGAAATGGGGTTGGGCTCTGTGGAGCAATATTCTGCTGAGTCCCAAACTGGAAGGGACTAGTTCCCGATGGAGCCGGTGCTCCAAAACCAAAATTGGATTGAGGCGGGGCAGGTTGTTGACCAAATGCAGGAGTCGCAGGAGTCAGAGGTGAAGATGAATGAATTGGGTCCTCTGCCATGCTGTCTTCCATACTCATCTGATCAATTATTAACCGAAGCAGCTGAACCAAATGAGAAAAAGGATTAGGATTACCAAAAACAGGTTGTGTGGAAGTAGCCATTGCAGTTGAAGTAAATGAGAAAATGGGACTCGTTGATGCACCGAGTGATGATCCAAACATGGGTATGCTGGTAGTGGAAGCAATATAAGCCGTGGATGATCCAGTCATAGCAGTTGTCGCCTCCTCCAGTCACCACAGTCGTTGCCGTCGCCGATTTGGTCCTCCGTCATGACGCTGTCAATAAGCCTGGGCTTAGGGTCGAACATGGAAGGAGAGAGAGGTTGAAGGAACAAAAAGAGAGAAAACAATGAAGGAATTGGGGAAGGAAGCGAGTGTTTTTTCGGATGCAGGGATGGAATCCACAACCACCTTTTTTTTCATGGAATTAGATTTTTCGAGGAAGTGGATCCTCTCTACCGAACATCTTTCTTTCTTTCTTTCTTTTTTGTGTTTTGTTTTTTTTACTTGCACTTTTCCAACCTCAGTTTCATTTAAAAAAAAATATTTATTTTTAAAATATATAAATTTAATAGGAATGAAGTTAAAAATTTATTAAATTTATAAATATAGTTAATAATGTTTAATATTTTTAAAATCAAGGAAACATGTTAAAAGTAGAGTCAGGAATAATAGGCGGGCTTGAAGGTCCTATTTAAATAAAAATTTAAACTTGAAAATTGGTGATTTTTTTGAGAAATCGAGCTTCTAGGCCTTGAAAACATTTATTGAGCTTGGGCAGCCCTTCAAGCTTTATTGCCTAAAAAATAGATGATCTTTCAAATATTATGTTATCAAAATAATTGATATTGATTCTTTTGTCACTTATTTTAACATGATGTTGACAAATTTTTTATTAATTTTTTAAATACAATTACTTTGTAAGGTCCATTTCTTGATTTTGATTAATGTTGTACTCAATGATACACGAATTTTTGTATTTATTGGATTTAATAAAATTAATCTTGATTGAAAATTTTTACCTTCATTTTAAGACTTGATTAAGATTCTATGTCTATAATTATATTTATTTATTTTATTAATTTTTTTATTTAAAAAAAAAGGCTTACGAACTTTACCCTAATGCCTTTAAATAAGGGTCAGGCTTCAGAAATCAACTATTTTCTGAGAAATCAGACTCAAGAGCCTTTAAAGGTTGGACTCACTCATTTTCCTACCTCTAGTTAGAAGTTTATTAAAATGACAACTAAAATTAGTAGAGGATGATAACATACTCAGTTATTAACTTCATGATATTTAATTGTGTTATGGAGAATTGAATATAATTCTCAATTTTTTTTTGCCATTGTAAATTCTTGTTCTTGGTTCAAGCATAATGTTTGGGCAATACAAAATATGTATATAAGATCTCAAAAAAGGGTTAAAGTGTGTGGATCCTTCTACTTTTATTATGAGTGAAAGAGAGGGCAAGGAATATTAATATGGTGGCAAACACCCAACATTTTTCTTTTTTTATATACTTCATTCATTATCAGGGTTTTTAGCTGAATTCTACTTTCAATAAATTAATTAATTTCCTTTCAATTAACATTATTTTTTATATATACTCTTATTTAATAGTTTCACTTAAAAATAAATATAAAGTAACTTATTTATCAAGTGCAATTTTGAAAAAAGGACATTAATTACACCTTAAAATATTAAAAATATCTTATATTTTTTAATATCAACATCTAAAAAATGCCTTATATTTCTTAATAGAAGGAGTAGTTGTATTATATTTAGTATTATTGAGAAAATTCAAGTTTTCTCAAACCTAATTAAAAACAATTATGTTTTGAATTAAAGGGTAGTTTCACCCTTAAACTATATGTCCAGGTGTTTTTAGAACTCTTTAACATGTTTTGGCGCAATACAATATTTTAAAAATTGGATTGGATAATGAATTGAAAAAGGTCAATATATCAAAATTCTCATGGTTTAATCGGTTAGACTGATGGTTAAACTAGAGACATAATAATCAAATAAAAATGATATTTACATCCATATATATATATATATATAGAAATAAAAATACTTGCAATATCAATCACAATTCGGAATTGTTTAGTTATAACATATTAAATTTTAATTCTCTCATTTTTTTATTTGTATATCTTTTTATTTATCTTATTTATTCTTTTAAAGCAGACAATTTTTTCAATTTCCTCTAAACTTTCATTAATATAATGCCAATAAACAAATTATATACTCAAGGTTTTACTACAATAACCAAGAAGTTAGTTGGTATTAATATTTTTAAATTGAATAAAAAATTTTACCACTAAAATAATAGTAAGAAAAATGGTTCAAAATGGTCTAGCTGTTCTAGGTTCCAACTTTTTATAGGGTTTTGAAAACTCGATCGAGTTATGGCAGGCTAACCTAGGCCAACTACAAGAACATGTTAAATGATTGAACCAAATTATTTTCTTGACTGGATGACAATTTGACTGGTCCAACCATTTGAGTTTCAAAACATTAGTGCAATGTTACCCTTCAACTTTAAAAATGATATAATTTTATCCCTATAGTTTACAAAAGTTAATTTTTACTAGTAGTTGATTAAAAAATTATGGAAAAGGACATAAAAATTACATAAAGGACCAAAAAAATTATAGAAAAGGATTTCAAAACTATAGAAAATGACCTAAAAATTATAAAAATGACCCCAAAATTATAGTTATATGGTCTTTTTTTATAATTTTTGAAGTCATTTTTTGTAATACGTTGGTCAACTAATAGTCAAAATTAACATTCATTGACAGTAGATGCAATATTACACTATTTTGAAATGTTAAAGGGAATTATTGCAATAAAATTAAGTTTAGAATTTCAAATAATCCTAAACTTATAGTTGTGCATATGTGTGTGTGTTGGATGGTTTACATTGCTAAAGTGTAATATTTTAAAAATTATTTTGCTGATTAATAAAGCTAATGAAGGATAATTATATTAATTTAAATATAATTAGATTTGAGGATAGTTAGAGGTGACTAATGGGCCTATTAGGTTTTGCTTTAGCTTTTGGATTGTGTTTGAAAGTGAATTGGGCTACCTGAACTCAAATTATAGAGAGAAAATTGAAAATTCACTCACTATGCATTACGCTGTAGTGTAATATTAGGAATCAATCTTTTAGAAAATGTAGAAAATGATAGAAATAGATAGAGAAGCTAGAAACAAAGGGAGAGCGACATAAAGAGTATTTTCTCTTCTAGTGCATTAACTTCTGGGCATTTTGGAGGTAATTGGAGCTTGATTTCACCTAGGTAGATAATAGGAGTGTGATTTCACCAATGTATGCCTTTTTTATCTCTTCTTTTTTTCTCTACACATTTTAGAAGTAAGATTTAAGATTGGAAGATGATAATTTTTGAATCTAAGGCTATGAGTTCAAACCCATTAGTTTAAATAGGACCAATGAAAGTTATTTAATTTGTCTAAACTTAGCTCTAATGAGTTTGAGCATCCTTGAGTTTGGGCTCATTAATATGGAAGAAATTATGTCCTAAAATGCCATAAATAGTGGTGGTTGAGATAGGCGGCTGTCATTGATGTTGATTAAGGAGTTTTTTAATGTTAGTTGAAACTAATGGGAGTTAATAAACTTAATGGTTATTCTTAAATGCAAAATATTAAAATTTTGAATAGTTGAAGTATTGATTAACGGAAGTTGGAAGAGTATTTATGAGGATATTAGTGATAATAGGTATGATTAATTATAAATAAATTATCTTATACACTATTTAAGTTTTGGTATAACTTTAGAAGTACTTTTATTAAGGGGTAAACTTTTGACTTAAATGTTTGAGGTAACTAGAGAAAATTTAGTTTATGCATTTGCTTGCTTAATTGATTATAGATGTTTACAAAGTCATTTGAAAAATATAATATTATGAACTTATCTTAATGCCAGTGTGGCATGATGCGGTTAATTCTATGTGACATGTGTTAAAAATGAGTTTGATGATAGTTGAGAAAGGAGGATAATTATATGTAATGGTAATATGATGATGATGATGATGTGATAAGATGGCAGAGGTGTACTTCTTATAGTATGAATATATGATATGAGGAATATGTTGACGTAAAGAAGTATAATGGTTGAGAATTTGCATGCAAAGAATATATAATGATTGAGTATATATGCTATGAGTTAAGAATATTTCATTGCATGATCATATAAGGTAGGGTTCACCTAAGAAAAGGAGTAAAAATATAAATCCACATGGATATTACCAGCACCATAGGTGGCTCTAATGTGTTTAGGGTTGATTTTTCCTGAATCTCATGTAGGGATGGGTATAGCCGTCGATTGTTTGAACTCGGTCGAGTCTTCTTAAATCGCACCTCAGAGAGGGTGTAAGTATAGGTTACCAAAACCTTATACCCTTAATATCATCCTGGATTGAGAATGGAGCACAGCTTGTGACACCCCAAAAATTCAAAAATGGGTAAATCTGTGGTCCATGAGTGAGTGTAACACCTTGGCTAAGTAGCTCTTCACAATTGGTGAGCTTGGTTAGTTCGCTGACACGAATGCATCCCTATTTGATTTGTTAGTCTATGGATTTAGTCAATAGTATATGAAGGATATAAGGTTGTTTCTTGATCATACACATCATCTTTATGGCCACATAATTGTTATTATTATGGCCCTTGCATAATTTGGCATAATATAGTCATATGATTGGTATTATTGTGACATTATGCATTCTACTATTTTAAGTTGCATGTTTGTTAGTATTATGACTAAATGTGATTGAGATATATTGTAATTTCATGATAAGTTTAACCTACCACTTGCATTGTTATAGTTGATTAACTTGCATTATATAGGCTAGATGTACCTTTATTACTAAATAGTTGTACTTGTAAAATCTCTTCTACTAATCATAATTAATCAAACAAACTCATGGTAATTCAATGATTAATCCTTTTAAGAGATTACCAAGTTTTAGTTTTTAAATCAAGGTATCCTAAGTTTTCATAATAAAAATGAGTTTAAATCATCATAAACTCTTATATCATAGTAACAATAAGTTATGGAAGCATGGGATACCTTGGAGGAGTGAAAGAAATTGAAAACAGTTGGAAAATAAGTTATTTGCTATAAAACAGGGCAATGCGCCATAAAGTGTTGCTCTCTGTGCCACACGCCGCAACTCAGGCGCTAATACATCATGACGTGTTTCACGTTGTCCGGGAACTTCTGACATGCCCTGATTCTCCATCCATCATCCTAATGGCATGATATATGTTTTCAATGAGAATGCTATAATGACCTGGAAAATTATTATTAAAATTAAAAATTTTGGTGTGTAATTTTGAATAAGCTATCAAAAATGTTCTCATTAGACTTTAATATATCAAATTTTTTTTCATTCTTTTTAATTTTTGTTTAGCAATTTA